CGTCAGCCAGTTGCTCACCCATTGCACTATGGTTTTGTCAAACTGTAGATGCACAGAACTGGTTTATTTTTTATTGATGCTTCTGTACTAGTATTTTTGGCCAGAATGGTTTGATATAGGAGAGGAAGAGTATGGTACTCTGCTTTTGTCTGATACCTTGTTTCAGGCAATTGGGGTTTGTGTGCAGGAAAGACTTGCAAAAGTTTTTTACTTGGGTTGAGTGTTTGTGTAGTCCTTTTGACCTGTTCCCAAGAATTGATTCTATTTTCCATATTTATGTACATATCCATTTGTGGGTAGGGAGAGAGAGGGAGGAATGCTTGAGTTGTAGAAATGGCCAGAGCATTATATGACAACTTCTACTTCTGTTGATCTTAAAGTATGTTATAGATGGAGTATATTATCTTGTGGTGACAGAAAGTTAGGTTTCTGGAAGAAAAATCTGCATTTTTCGGGGGGAAAAAAAATGCTGTCCTTGGCCAAGTGTTAAATAAGCAAGTATTGCCTCACTACCAAGATGACCTTGACCTTTTGTTTCTATCCTCCAAAACAAGTGTGAATCCCTTTAATCCTCAGTCCAATTTTCAATGGAGCAAGTGAGGCCACCAAATGTGGCCTGTATGTTGACATGCTAGTATTATGTCACTGGTCCTTCAGATGGTCATAGTTTCACTGAATTTTAGTTGAGGACTGTAACCTTTCCGATGTTCTTTAAAATCTAGTTTAAGGTGAAGCCTTAATCACTGAAGAGAGAGAAGCTCAGTATATGGACTTCAATACCGGAAATGTTATTCCGTAAATTGCTGAAGTAAATGCAGTTATCTGAAATGAATCACTTTGGACAAAAATATATTTGAATTTCTGAAAGTTGGAAGACATACTTTTTCTATTAGGAAAATAAAGAAATAAGTTATTTGCAAAGAAGTAACATTTACCACATTCAAGGTGAAACAGTGATTCATTATAGCAGGGTCAGTGTGACAAATTCCTTTTGGATCTAACTTGTCATCGGTTGTTCTGTGAAACATAAAAGGTCTAAGAATATTTTTTAGGTTGTATAAAAATCCTACAAGACTTTTTTCTGATTGTAGAAGACTGGTAAAAGTGCACTTTGAAGGATAAGGTTAAGAACCCCATTTTATATATGCCTATACTTGACAATTTTGAAGTATCTTCAACTTCCTGCCTTTGCAAGTTGGTAAACGTTTCGTAAAGTTACTTGTTCAAGTCTAATTCAGTCCTGGTGTGGAATCATTTCATTGCTTGCTAACTCTTGACAAAATTAATCTCACTTGCGCACAGGAGATGGTAGATTGAATACGGCTGCATATTCAATAAGAGTATCAAGAGTATTGAGGAGTTGGACACTTAACTTGCCCTTTTGCTTTAGCAATCAAAGTTGCAGCCCTAACTTACACTTTTGCCCACCTTTAAATGACACAAATAGATAATGTTTTATTAATGAAAGTGTTGGACAACTATAGTTGACAGTATTAACTCACAGATCAAGACAGATAGATCCATGACCCTGCTCCTGCATATTATTTCTGGCTGATAGGCAGCATTTTTAGATACAGCTGATCTGGCTGCCAGCTGCATCTGGCATGTGGAGTTCTGGTGCAAAAAGAAGCTGTGGTGTTGCAGAGTGCTGAAGGTTTGTTTTCATGCTGCCTCTCTTTCTCCTTCCACATGACCTGCTTGTAGGAGAGCTCTGTTGATGGTGGTAAGGTTTTGGGGCCTGCCTAGGGAGTGCATGTACAGATGTATGTGATTTAGCTTCCTATAAAATATTTTTTCAAGGATGTAGGGAA